TTCTAACAGGATTAAAAATTATTTTTAATCTACCCATGTATGTACATATATTCTATTCAACTGTTGCATTATTCCTTTGAATGCATTTTTGTACAAGAATTGTTACTCTTACAGATACCATGATACATGTTTAACAATATATTTTGTATGGATGAAAAATGAAATCGAATGAATGCTATTTTTTATATACAAAAATTTAAAACATTCTTGTATATTAATTGGTATGGATATATTTATATTCACATGAGAATAGTGGGTTATGAAAATAATTTCGTACAAAAGCAAAAAAAAAAGCAAAAGAATTAAGGATCAGATTTATTTTATGAATTCAACTCATAGATTACATTATGTAGATGCTTTGTTACAATACAAAAAAAGGATGTTTTCAGTACCTACTTATATATTTATATATAAAGGATTTAAGATTTGTAAGATCATTGCTAGACACGATGAAACAAGTTTTAATGCTTCAGTAGAGCTTGTTTTTTTATTACAATAAAAAAATATTTCATTTGTTTATTTTAATGTTCTATGATTGCGAAGCTGCAAACCTTGCACGTGTGCAAATTAACCTAATAAAATATTGTTTTTGGATTTTAACCAAAACTATGCAGTTCTAAAAATATTGCTCTTAAAAATCATATGGCATTCCAATGTAAATGCATGTTTACAATAAAATTTAATTATACAAATTATTCTTTAAATATTTTCCATTGAATTCGATTGAATTTATGAAAACCAAAACTTGTTTATTAAATTCCATATTTAGAATTTAAATTCTTAAACTTAATTAAAACCACTTTTTGCATTTTTACAAAAAAAAATTTTTAATGTTTTATGCATAATCTTGTTTTTTTTTTTTAATATGTGAATTAGTTTTGTTAATTAATTTTAATGGAATCTCTGCACTAAAATTTAACATACCCTGAAGTCATTATTTTCGGAATAAATTATCAATTATTCCATTAAAAATTCACTTGAATACTTGTAAAAATTTTAATAGATTCTTTCGTTTTCTTATTCTGATTATTCTCAATAATAATTTTTACTTTAAAATTTTCAATTTTGTCAGTTTTCAACACCACCATGTTATTACCACATTTCTTTAAGTACATTCATGTGATTGCAATTTTAAATTTATGTTTTTTTTAGTTTATTTGGAAAAAATTTATTTATTTAATTTTGATGCAATATTTATGAAATTCCTCTCATATGAAAGAAAAAAAGTGGCGAGAAGAATACATTACAAAAAATAGAAAAAATGGATAGCATTCACCCTGAAGGCACTTAATGAATTGGTTATTTTTCTTAATGATTTATTGAAATTACAATGGAATAGGAATAAAATTTTTATAAAATAATGGCAAAACTTAAATTTCGCACAAAATATTAAAGAAAACCAAGCACGAATGTACACCTTTTTCACCGAAGAATTTTTTACGGTACAAATTATTAAATTTTATATAGATTTGAAAGAAATTACACTTGAGATTCTTACTCCTGAGCAATTCCTAGCCATAATCCTTTCGAATCGCTTTTTGAATAGTTTACTGATACATTTGCGTACCGGCCGGGTACAAGTCGAAAGGGTTAAAAGTCATCAAAAAAAATTTAGTTGTCGACTTCAAGGACTCGATTGCAATAGTGCTAAAACAAAACTTACAGAACAAAATTAGAAAAATAGCAAAGTTTTTGATTTTCAATAGCAAACTGCACCAACAAATGAAAATTTTTAGGTAAGTCAAATATCGTTTTACTATAAAATTTAATAAATTTGTAATGAATATTGAGTTCTGATATTATTCTATTTTAGGAACTGATTATATAAGGTTTTTTTCTACTATATAGTGATTTTTTCTATTCACAACAATATAAAGGAAAATAAACTAAAGGAAACTAAGTTTGTTATAATTTTTTCCATAATTATCAACTTCATCAACGTAACTGGAAAGATATTCCTTTAAGATTTTCTTTTAAGAGATCGAACAACGTACATGTACATACATAATCAAAAAAATTAAAGCAAGAGCCTAATGGTTATATATTTTATTCTTCTAATTTAGAAAACATATTTTTTTAAGAAATATTTAAGTTTTCAGTAAATTACTTTTAAAAAAAGTTAATGGTGATGATATTTTCTACTCATTTACAATTTTTGTTTTAAGCTTTCATACTTTTTTCAAAAAAAAATTCAAATTCTCTTAAATATTATTTTTGGAAGAACATTCAAAGTCCTAAAGGTTACATATTTATGCCGCTCTTTATATGCTTATAATATGCACATACTATCTATTTGTAAGCATTCAACAGGTTTTATTCTAGTATATACAGTATACAGCTAGTAAGCTAATTTTTAGTTAAATTGCGAAGAAAAACTCATTCAATTCATTGATATTTTTAAAATGTATGTATGATATAAATGATTTGCAAACAAAGAGAAAATTTGAACCAATACTTAAAAAGTTTTTTACTGAATACACTTGTTGAATATTTTTTCTCTTCTAAATAATACAAAAAAAATAAAAACTGAGAAACAGTGCAGTACTTCAACTATCTGCTTTAGTACTTTTGTACTATGGTTGTAAAGAAAATAAGTAACAATATTGTTACTAAATGCAATATGTAAACTACTATTAATGTCTTAATATCTAACATAGATTAGATATGAATAAATCTATAATATAATAAATATTAGATACAAAGACATGACGGCTCCTATCTTCCATTAAAGTTTATGAGTTGCCGCTTTGACAAAATAAATTAATAATTATTTAAGAGAAATATCTTACGTTAGCATTGTTCAATATTTTAAAAGAGAAATAATTAAGAGAATTTGAAAATTTTTAAAAGTTTATTATTTTTTTTTTTACTTTTCAAAATTGAAAAATATTACTGGTAAATAGCTTTTAGTATTTCACCATAAATAGAAATAGTTACCGTAGCTAAAAATTATGTCGCTTAAATCTAAAAATTTTATCATTTTGAAATTAAATAAATTTAAGGAAAAATTATTCAAAAATTAGAAAATTTTAGTATGAATAACTAGGAATAAATATTTTAGTATTTAATGTTTTTTTTTATTAATTTAAAATTCTATGAAATAATAATTTTTATATTATAAATGTCAGCGGAAGAACGGCTATAATTTTTGTTTTGGACATTTCCTTTTGATATTTTAAATATTTTTAAGTTGGAAATATTAAAATTCAAAGAGCATGTAAGGATGAGACATTAAAGCTACGACCGCTATATGATATATGTAAATCACATTACGTGTAGTATGTATGAAATGTGTTAAACGTAAATTCTTTCAATTCATTATCCCAGCAAGAGCAAATCATGTCGGAGGATTTCCATTCTAAAATATTGAAAAATTTTTATTAGAATACTTTTAATATATACATTAACTACTTACATACATACTTAACTTATTATTAATTAGGCGCCTTTAGGGTCTATAAACCACCTTATGATTTCTTCTTCAAAATAATTTTTCATTCAATAAAAAGGAGAACTACAAATATAACAGTCAAAAATATTATTTAATTTTTTAAGGTACATTTGAAAATAATTTTAATATTTATAAATACATACATATTACATTATAAATTTTATACTTAATATTCAAGGGTGATTCTCAAATAATATCATAAGAATTTTTTTTTAATACTCTTAATATTATGTGAACAGAATTAATTATGTTATGTTTAATATTGTGATGCTACTGAATTGTTAATTTAGCATAAAAGCTCTATACTATATTTCTTACGAGATACCACGTGGGTATTACATAAAGAAATTTTAATTTCAAATGCATTATAAACACTCAAATGTATTATAAATTAGCTGTATATTTGTGTTTGTATACTTGTGTTATAATTTGCTAAAGCATAAAGTCTCTAAAATTCAATAATATGTTTCGTTGTCGACAAAATTAGATATAGAAATAGAATAATGCATTATGCAATAAAAATATGAGAAAAATTTTAATTTCTCTTAATTGAGAATATTTGTAAATCGCTCTTTATAAATAAAATACATATGCACACAAATACAAATCAGGAGATATTTTTCTCTTTTATAATCAAATCTGATTCTCTTTAGTATTTATAAAACTTATATTTCTTATCAATACCGCAATAATTCTACATTCTGAATTTTTGATTGTATTAAAATAATTTACAGGTATTATAGATACAAGCAATACCTATGCAGCATAAATGTATCTTAAGAAAGCGTTATATTAATACATATAAAAATATAAAAATATACCGGTTTTTTTAATACTCATATTTAATTCACTCTCTTTCTCTTATGCTTAATTTTATGCTACACCAATAATAGTGTCACCAATAATAGAACATTGAGAAATCCATATGATATTTTTATTAACAAAATGTGTCCGAATATTTTCTCTACTCCATACTGTAATGTAGTGGTAAATGCTTGTCTGTGTATGAAATCTAAGTGGTAATTTTGTTCATTCTTCATTAATTTTATTTTACACATTACAGTACTTATTCATATATTCATTCATGAAATACTTCAGTTGCAGTTTATCATTCGAGGTATTCGCATCGTTTCCAAATTGGAAAATAGATTTATAGTGAAAATTTTCAATATAAACAAATAAATTTTTCATCTCTTTTTATTTCCTCTTCATTTCTTGATTGAATGTTCAATAAAATTAAATTAAATAAAAAGAAAAAAAAAAGATCAAGTGAAAATAATTAAAAATAAATTGTTGTTAATTCATTCATAACAGATTAAAAATTGCAAACCCAATTTATTTATAAATAAAAGAAAAAAAATTAATAATTAATTAAATATTTATGAAATAATTTTCATATTTTAATTGAAATATTGTGAGATAACAATAGAAATAAATATTTTAAAATAATAAATTGAAAAAAGAGAAAAAAATTGTTTTTTTTTTTGTTAATTATCTGCAAAAAAATTGTGTAAATTTAAAAATTTTAAAATAAATGTAATTTACTATTATTTAAAACAATTACGAAATTAACGATTGCTTTGGATTATATTTTTTAATTGAATTTTTGGAAAATATTTTCTAGAATCAAAATATAAAGGTGAGTTTGGTTTTTATTTTAATTTTGAATTAATAGAAAATATTAATTATTTTTATTGAACATAGACTTGATTTTTACGGATTAATATATGATGTAAATTTTCTTCTGGTAGGTTAGGTTATTTAACAGGTTTATTTGTTCATTCAACCGATTCATTAGCTCAGTTAGTTGAAACGACTAAACTAAAATCTCAGATGGAGTCAAGAAATCTCGTTTTTCACTTAAAATTCTTTATTAATTATGATTAGTAAACTAGGAGCTAACTTGTACTAATTACTCATTAAAATTTGCTTCAATTATCAAAATGTTCAAAAAATCTCAAATAAGCACAATTAATTATTACAATTTAAATATTTTAGCTTTTCATCTAAATATAACTAAAATAGGTACATTTCAATTAAAAACAAAAGGGCTACAAATAAATTGTCATATTTAGTTCTTATCTTAACCCTTTACAGCATTACAATATACTCAATCATTAGAGCTTTATAAAGCAGTGGTACTAAAGTAATTAATAATAATCATTCCGTTTTTGCTTTGTAAATTATTGTAAATCATCTTTTTAAATAGTTATACACTAAATATACTGGTATATTTATATACATATATATGTATATTATAGCACCACTGTCTTACTTCAAATAAGTAAAATTTATAATAAGTATTTCCTATCAAATTTTCATTTTTTATTCTTTTCCCTTATATGATTGACTTCTTCAACAAAGATGAATGGACTTTTATCAGTTCCAGTCTTTTTATGTTTCAACCAACTAAAAAAAAAAAAAAATTATTTTTATAAAAAACAAAACATGTATACGTGTACATAATGAGTATATATATATAGATACTAGTTTTTTTTTTTGTGTTCCAATCCAATTGATAGAAAATGAGTTGAAAAATAAGAAGTGAAATTAAAATTCATCCGGTATAGTAGTCGCATGCTTTTGTACATAGGCTTCCACTGCACGAATTATATTACATTAATCAGCGTTTAACGCATAATACAGTACAAAAAATAATGACAGCAATATTAATTTTTTTTTTACCATTATTAAAATTTTATTTAATTCCTATATCATTTCTATAGTTAAATAACATCCGCTTTATGAAAGTTGAGTTGTTTTTTTTTGTCTACAAGTACATAAATTAAATAAAATCTTAATCACTATATGTACAATTAGCCACATATATAATAATCAGAATGAATGAATGGATTATTAATTTTAAGCCTCTACTTACCATTATGCTATTCATTACTATATAGTTGGTTGACTAGTTTATTAATCATTCATAAATATGATTTTTTTTAATCTGATATTTTTGCATTAACGATTGGTACTCGTATACCCATACCATATCACCTGTGCCTAAGCCTCCATAATTAATAGTTGTTAATTAATACCTGTATTGGAAAAAATTGTTATACATACATATATTTTTTTTAATATTTTTGTAAATTATAGCAACATTTTTATTAATTAAAAATGTTGTGAAAAAATTTTTGTAAAATTTTTATATGTGCGTACCATTTAGTTCGGATTTCAACTCCAATCATTTTTAAATTGGTATCCGGTCTAATTAATTTTTGATTTTTTGTTATATAATATTAGATATTTTTAAATTTTTTTCTTATATTTTGAGATTTACGGGTAAGTGCGGTATAAAACGCACAATTTTAAATGCATGACAAATACTATTTTTTTTTGCTAATTTCAATTATGACGTCCATCAAAAAATATTTAGATATGCTCCAAAGATTTTATAGTTATTGTTGTCATGTTTTGTTAATACAATGTCCGCTCATTTGGCAAGTATGGTTTTAGAGGTGACTTAACCTAACAATATAATACGTACATATATATATTGCGTAAGCACCAGAAATTATATAAACCATTTAAAAATATCAACAAATGGTACTTAAAAAATGATTTTGTTCTTCTTAAATCAATGGTTCTTGTTCTCAAAGTCATCCATCCATTTGTTTATGACTCTAGGAAATTATTGCAAAAAATTAAGAATTTATTGTTATATTAAGGTGATGTTCGAAAAATTGTCGACAAAAATTTATTAAATACTTTATGTCAGTGCATGCATGTACATACATATATATACGTATATTTTCAAATTAATTTCATTAAGTATTGTTATACATTATTCGGTCTGTATGTCAAAGGAATTTTAATATTCAAAAAAGCATAAAAAAAACAAAAGTTACAGAGCATTTTCCGGTTTACGTAACCAACTTTTGTTTTTGCTTTCAAACACACGTTAATGAAATTTAATTCAACAAAACAACAGAAATAAAAACCGTTTGATTACAATCGAAAATTTAATGAGTTTGCATAAAAGCGGCACTTTTTTTATATACAAAAAAAAATTCAAAAGTGTTATACGGTGTGATTTATTTTTTATAATATTTCAGCTTTTTGATTACTTTTTTTTGTTATTTATTCTAAAAAGTATTTAAGTATTTTTTTGTTGATTTTAAATATTATAAAATTTTTTTCTCTAATTTTATTATTTTATTTTATCTATAATTATTTAAAAAAAAAAAATTTTTTTTATTTGGTTACTTAAAATATTTACTCTCTATATAATGTATTCTAGTATAGCATAGCCTATAAATAGCAAGCCTATGTTTGTACTTGTATAATAGTTTAGAATGACATCATTACTTATTTTTTTCGATTATTACTCATTCATTTAAGTACTCGGTTATATAACGTATATAGATAACGTATACTTAACATAGTGTCAGTCATAAAGTCATTAAAAATGTGTCTATTTGTGGGAATTCTTTGTTAAAAATTAGATATGCACATACATACTTGTATACATAAGGTAAATTAATTTATTATTTTTAAGGGAATAAAAATAAAATTTTATTTAATTCTTAATTTTTTTTGGTTATAGTAGGTCAAAAATTTAGAATTGATAATTAATTCTGAAAAAAGATGGGGTTTTTAATTGAGTGAAAGAATAGATAGATAGAAAAAAAAAGTGGTCATTAAAGAATTTTTGGTTGTTTATGAGTGTTAATTAAAATTCAACTAACTTATCTTATTTCTTTTATATAAAATTGTTATACGGTAAAGTGCTTATAAAATTATTATTTAAATTAAATGAGTCTATAATTAATATTTAAAAGCTTTTATTTAAATTAAAATGTATTCCACATTTATATTAGGTTGCTAAACTAAGTACTCATTATAAATTAGGAGTTTTAATAAAAAGGTTTAATTCAGTTTAAAAATATGTGGAGAGAATTCATTAAATTAATTCGTAATTATTTAAAAATCTCACCGAATTTAGTTCATTTTTGTAACTTGGAGCGCAATCGAGTAAACATAACATGGAATACTGTATGGTTGTTGCTCCCATGTTGTTATAACGAAAATTTCGTGTTGCGATATCGCAATGTTGAGTTAATGTTGAAAATTTGATTATGTTACTTATGTCAGCTGATTTCATGAGTACTTTTTGATTATTTTTCTAGTACCAGTACCGCAACATCTTCGCAGTGTTTACTTTTTGATTTCAGTCTTACTTGTTAAAATTTTAAAATTATATTCAATAAATATTAATTAAATTTTTGTATACTATAGTGTTTCATATTTTCAGTTTAATAAAAGTTCACTTTGTGTTCTTGGATATGCCATAAAACAATCATTTCTATTAAAACTATTTAAATAACTACTTACAAGCAAAATTGTTTTAACTAAAGAAATTTTTTAAGGTGGTAACTATTATATAGATGGGTAGGAATAATTGTTATATTTAATTGAATTCTTCTTCATACATATATGATTGTATTAAAAAAACACTATTTTTTAACGAACAAAAAACAATCCATGGTCTTCTATAAGAACTAATGCTACAATATTCACATGATACCCGTATATATGTACACCTATTTATACACAAATATAAGTCATCTCAACTTTTTTAACTATTTATAGTAAAACTTAAATTTTATTATTCGGTTATAAAAGTAGAAAAATTTAAACAAAAAAAAAAAACACAAAATGGAAAAACTTTTTTGAAAAACTTTTTATTAAAGATTTTTATCATTTTTTACCGCCTCCTTTTTTTCTCTCATCTCTCTATATATACCATTTTTAATAAGATTATATTTATTTTTTAGCACTTTTCCAAAAAATTTTTTGAAAAAAGTGCTTATTAGTTTCACTCTGTCCGTCCGTCCGTCCGTCCGTCCGTCCGTCCGTCCGTCCGTCCGTCCGTCCGTCCGTCCGTCCGTCCGTCTGTCCGTGTGTCTGTTTACAAAACTTCTACACCCTTGAAGATAGAAAGCTGAAATTTTATATATACATAGATCTTTACTAGAAACTTATTTTCGTAGAACAAAATTTTTACCTATCTCCCCCCCTCTAGAAGTTATACCCCCCCAAAACCCTAAAAATGGCCTTTTTTAAATATTTTTTGCAATGAAACCATAAGTATTTTTGAAATTTTGCAAACGCAGAAAGGCAGCGGCTTGCTTCCCCTAGCGCGGTATACTATAGTTAAACTTTAGAAAAACAAAATGGCCGTTGAAATTTACCGTTATCTAAAGTCCTTTTTTTCCAAATTTTTGATGTCGTTTTTCTTCTAGATCCTATATTCTAGAACTTTGAAATTTTAGAGGCTTTTAGACATTAACAAATAGTTCATTCCGTTAGAAGAAATTTTTTTTCCATCTCCACCCCCTCTCAAGTTATCACCTCTTGAAAATCGTAAAATTTGAATTTTTGACACCCTATATTTCCGAAACCGCAAGCTTTTCCAAATTTTTATAAACGCAAAAAGCTAACGGTAAATTTCGTGACACTAAAAAATATAATTATTTTTCTTAACTCACACAATTAACCCTTAAAATCGAGCATTATGTTAACCCCTTTTTATGTTAATTTTTGCTTTATTTCAAAGACTGCATATATGCGTCATCCTAAATATATGCAATCCTAGTAATAGTTTTGTATATGAATGAAAATAATTTTTAT